AACTCACTGATGATGCCGACTACGATGCCGGCGAAACGTTTGAGAATGTACAAAGTCCACTGTCTGATGCTGGGAATTATGACAACTACAATGGCAGACGACTTCGGACTAAGTGCCTTCTACTAAGTCATCCTGACAACAAGACAACAAGTTGAAACAACGAGGTCAACCCACTTCTAAAATTCTGTATATTTTTTCCAGTATAGGATTTTATTCAACATTGTTCTTTTCTCTGAATACTTTGACCCAGCAATCTTGAGTGCATGATCCTCCGAGTCGGTGCTTTCTCACACTAAGCCAAACCTGCAGGATCTCCCCTGCTCACAAACTGTATGAAGAAAGGAGCGTGAAAGTCTTCCTATCCTTTTTGCTTCTAGAGACACAATCCGTGGATAGTAAGCATAAGTCGGTAGCGCAGCACATCTTTTCTGGAGATAACTACCGTTTATGCTTCCGTGCTCGAATTGGCAAAATTAGTAGATTTCTGCGTTGACAAGAAGACCCCTTGGCCACAGAAGCATATTTAGTACTGGCACCCATCCCAAACCTAGTGACTATCCACGTGTTCGAATGAATAAATGCCGCCACAGCGGATATATTTCTGCACTTCACTTGCCTTACACCCTCGAGTCCCAATTTACTACTTTTTATTTATAAGTAGGTTTTCGGTACTACAAGTAGATCATATATACAAGATGAACTTACCCTATTTAGTTAAGGTGATGAAGGAATGGTATTTGAATTTTAGCACAATGACATGAGTAGACATTAAATTTTCACTGAGTTTCACATAGCTTCACATCCAGGCGGAACTGCACTGCAATTTCGATCTCGCCTAAATTCTCAGCACCCCCAAAGGGACTCGAACCGTGTAGTGATATGGGAAAAGTAACATCTGCCCTGCGGCCAAAGGACACTCGTGGCAGTGTGGCGGAGTGGTTAATGTGTCGAGCTTACATGCTGCACTCTCACGGTTCGAGTCCCACGGGGGGTGCTGATGAGACCTAGGCGAGGTAGCGACTGCAGTCCACTTCGGCCTGTATGAGAATAGCTTTTGAGAAGCAAGGCTATGTGAAATTCAATTAAAAGGCAAGGAATACTCATATCATTGTGTGAAATGGGATGCGTACATCTCATAAACATTTACTCCATTCTCCATACAACATATTTTTATCCTAAAGATCATGTTGTAAAGTCAAGTATTTAATGACTGGCCAACTCTGCTGAGATAAATGTTCGACTCACTTTACCTTCCTCTCCTCACGCCTTAGTTGGGCACGGAGCTAGTAATTGTGGGATACTTCGAACTAACTTGCCTCAGATAAATATTTTGCATTAGCCTGAACTGAACAGTAGTATCATAGATATTGCCCTCGAATTTTTTGTCTGTTGTCAGATACGCTTTACTCCACCTAGACAAGTGGGAGTAATTGTGATTATTTAGTAGGCCACTTGATAATGTCTGAATGCACTTGCAAATTTTAACTAAAATGTTAAATTTGGCCATTCAATGGTTTCACAAGAGTGCACATTAGCATGAAACGTCTCATAAAATTTATTTTTATTTTTGGCTTTTTTATTTATAAGTATGACTATATAAAATGGCTGCTTCGATAAATAAGGAGTGGCTCATACCTTAATGAGAAACCTCTAAAAACATTTTCCCTTGACTTTTGATGTGAAGAACTGCTCAAAAGAGAATAGCTTATTGCTAAATAAGAATATGAGATTATAATGGACATAGTACATACAATGTGACGCATTGAATCTATAATATCGGGATAGAACTCTATTTCTCTTTACGTGTAATTGATAGAGTATTTGTTATCAGGCCCTCACGATTAGTTGTAGAGGCAAACTTCATATAATAGGAAAATGAAAATACCTGGCTGATTTGGATTGATGGAAGCAAGTAGTAAAACTTTTATACTTACAATCTACAATTGTTTAACTTTGATGCCTGATGAGAGTGGCGAGAATATAAATAATATGAGATGTATTCACCCAATTTCGTTTAAGGTGATGAAGGAGTGGTAGTATAATTTTTTTACAATGATATGAGTAGAGCTGACGTTTCCAGTGAACTTCGCATAGCCTTGCTTTTCCAAAAGTTGTTCTCATCCAGGCACAAGTGGACTTCAGTTTCGACCTCGCATCGGTCTTATCAACGCCCCCAGCGGGAGTCGAACCATGACAGTGCAGAATAGGAGCTTAACACGCTAACAACTCGGCCACATTGCCACGAGTAGTTAACGTGCCAAGCTCACATTCTGCACTGTCACGGTTCGACTCCCGCTGGGGGTGTTGAAAAGACCGATGAGAGGTCGAAATTGCAGTCCACTTGTGCCTGGATGAGAACAACTTTTGGAAAAGCAAGGCTATGCGAAGTTCAATGGAAACGTCAGCTCTACTCATATGATTGTGGGAAAATTCTACTACCATTCCTTCATCACCTTAAACTAAATTGGGTGAATACATCACATATTACTGATTTACTAGTTGTTTCGAAATTCCACTTAAAATATGAAGAATAAAAGTAGTTTGGCGACTAGGTGTATAACTAAGGTGATGCATTCTGTAAAACCAAACAGTAAAAGTAATGCATTATTAGAAACTAACAAATCCGATATTATCTTAGCTTTGGAACTTAATCATATACATGAAAAAAGAGTATCTCATGCTGGGTCTTCTGTCATTGTTTCTATCTGCTTTACCAGGGTCGATAATTTGGATGGGCAGATTCAAGATAGAAGCTAGATTAAGCGGAAGACACAATACAGAGTAATCTCTAAGTTTGCCCATAAACAGCTGCAAAAACCAGGTACAACCCAGTTTATGCAATGAAAGGAGATTGCGACAAAACTTAGACCTAGACCATTTTGGCTTCCTAGCTCCAAGATAAGGTTTTTAGAATTACCTGATCCAAGAATAACGAATTCTCCAGGCTTTCCATGTCTGCTGATATCGTTAATTCACCTTTTAGACCCAATTTGAGTTCCTTGAGTGAACGAACCAACTCAACTATGAGTACATTCATTCTCTCACATTCCTGCAACACAATAACAGTGTATGGACTTCTTTCTTCAGGTGCTTGTTTTGCACCCAGTTCGACAAGATTGAAGCATTCGGGAACTTTTTCAAGCAGATCTTCCAGAATCTGGGCAAGTTGTTCTTCTCGACTACACGAGTCATCTCGCTGCGCCCCGGGATCCCGAGGTTGTAGCTCCAACACAATACGAAATACGCGTTCCGCTGCTTTCGTCAAGAATTCAATTTCTGCATTTGGATGAAGACCATAGAGATGAGGCGATTCCGGAGGAAGATTTGAGTCAATATACGCGTGATAGCCAATGAAGTCTAGGTTGGGAGGAACAAGAAATCCTGGTGCCAAAAGAAGATCACCATCAACCTGCAAAAAAGTAACATGTGAAATATAAAAACTGAATTCGCAAATCTAATTATCTACTTGAACACAAATATCAGCAATATGTTTGAAGTCAAAATACACTATTTGCCATTAGGTGTTAGAGTGATAGCAATGCTACTCGTAAAGTACTGAGTAGTGCTTAGTGCATCTCATAGGAGAAGCTAATGAGATCTAATAAATTCTGAATTAGATGACACTTTTAGGCCGTATACCAATATGAATTTCATTGCCAAGCAAAATTCTCACTTCAATTCATCGAGGATAGAAACATTATCGTTATTTGTATCTGTCTATAACAAACGGTTTATACCATCTGTAATCGAAACTACTATCTTGCAGTTTTTACAAAAATTTTATAATGTGCTATCTTTAACAAACTATTTAAGTTTGAATTTCCTACAAGTTTCTTAAAAATTATGCCATTATTTTTATAGGGACAAGATATCAAAAAAGTTAATTGATTTAGGCCAATTGCCGGGTAGACAGATATTACTTGCCCAGGTTGTGTAGAAAGGCTAGATCCTCCTCAATAATATATTCCTTTGTTAGTTGAGTCAGATAATAGTCCAAGAGTTTGTGGTATCATGCATTACTATAGGTTATGCCTTAGCATAGTGACTAAAATACGATGTAGTATAAACAAATATATTAAAGCATAAGAGTGGGTAAAGGACTGGTAGTTGAATTTCCCCACAATGATATAAGTAGGCCTTACGTTTCCTTTGAAGTTCACATAACCTTGTTTACAAAAAAATATTCACATTCAGACTGGGTTTGATTGCAGTTTTGACCTCATCTAACTCTCATCAGCACCCCCAGCTGGACTCAAACCGTGATAGTGCAAGGTATAAGACCTTATATCAGATCTAATGGTAGTCTCGAAAAACCGACTTATATGCGAAAAATCAACACTGCAGTCGATTATTATAGCAACTTTACTTTATCGACAATCCCACCACAAAATAGAGTATGGGAAAATGCCTGACCTTCGTTGAACTCTACATCTGCCCTGTCACACAAGAGTACTGGTAGCATTGTGGCGTAATGTTTAACGTTTCGAGATTATACGCTGAGTTATCACAGTTCGAGTCACGCTGGGGGTGCTCATGGGACCTAGGCGAGGTCGAGACTGTAGTCCACTTCAGACGAGATGAGAATACCTTTGAGAAGCAAGGGCATGTGAAATTCAATGAAAGACTAGGGCCTACACATATCATTGTCCTTCAACTCCTTAAGCGAAATAGGATAAATATAGCTCTTATGGCATTTGTATTGATAGTTCCAAAAAAGCTACGAAACGAGAAATATCCTAAAATATATTAACGTGAAAGGTAGCATATTAAAAAGTGCTCTGCATGATGTGGTATGTTACCGTAAGGAAAAGAAAATTCAAAAAGATTAAGCTCAAGGATTATTAGATGTAATTCATAATACAAAGCACAATATTGCATCGTATCATTTGTGCTTGTATGAATGTAAAACTTACGAGATCCGGCTGAAGATATTCCTCCAAAAATGTACGACACAATCTTCGGTCCCAATCATCTGTTATGTGCCCACCGTACATGATTTCTCCAAAAAGATACCTTAGATCTTCCCAGGGTACCTTGGCATTGGCCTCCAAATAATTGTACAAGACATCGAGGCAAATACGTAGATCTCCAGTATTGAAAGGATATGTTCGGTTCCACCCTTGAGCGCCAAATTTGTTTCGTTCTGTCACCACAGCATGGAAGTAGCATAATGCAAAGAGAATTGGCTTGAATTCAGCTTCTTTAGTACATTTTTCCAAAGTCTCCTGCAACATTAAATAAATGGCTTATTTAAGTAATAACATTAACCGAATGATGTTTCTCCATTTAAAATTTCACAGGCTAAAAATCCTTGTTAAGTATATAGTATCAAATCAAAGGTAATGGGAAACTAATAAATAATGTTGTTTAAAAAATAGACAAAAAGCATACAAAATTATCTCTGAAATATATCCAGACATTGAACAAGGGATAGCACACGTTTTAGTTGTAAGGCCATTTTCGGAAAACAGTGGGTATATTATTACTTGATGATATACAAAATAATGTAAGGCCAGATTGGGAAACCTAGAGATTTTTAGACATAGGAGGCGAAATTTAATTGGGAGAGATATATTCAGATAATATAAGG